CGTCAGAACCCTTGTACGACTCTTCGATGAACATTCGTTTCCGCCGCCGCCGACGCACTTTTCAATTTGAGTACTTCAGTTACTTGCCTAAAAAAATGCTTTCTATTCATTTCGTGCTGATAAATCGAAACTTTGCTGACAGATTATGGATTTGTAACGGAAATATTCTTTTTTGTCACTCGTCAAACTCCTCAAACGCTCGAAAGCTCATTAAGGTTGCAATTTTGTTCAAAACTTGATATTCCACAGTTCTATAATATAGGGGTCTCGCTCTTCGATCTTACTGACCATTTCCTTCACTTAACTATGACCGGATATTCCTGGTCGGTGCAGTCTGTGCTTATAAATCAAAGTTTTTAACAAAGACCCGCAAATATCGAAGGGGGCTTTGCAAAATCAAACTATCCTCTTGAGGGGTGTTTGGAAAGAATTTCGGTCTGGGGGTGGCAAAACTTTGATCTCATTTGCATACGATTTAATCCGCTTTGGTCTAGAAATTCTTCTGTCTATAATAACAAAAATAGAGGAAGAAATAAAAATAAAAATAAAATGAAAAAAATAAATTGCATTCTGCCTATGGATTTCGGGTTTATCTTTTAGAAGGTAAGGCCTTCAAGAGTTGTAACCTGAAACAAACTGTATACTTCAAATGTGCCGAGACTGCTTTAAATAATTTATATACTTATAAAAACCGCACGACAAAAAAATATTTATTTGATGTAGGTTATATTTAATCGGTTCGTTTTCTTCAAGACCAAGGTCATCTCTGCTCGATGTAAAAAAATTGAGAAGCGCACGAATACTTGAAAAAGCTAATTCTCGTGAAAAAAAAATTGCCCTTTAAAATCTGAAGATATTGATGGATTATCTACGTAGCTACATTTATTGATCTGCTTTCTCTGCGCAAGAAAAAAATTTGCTCTGTTTATTGGAAAATTTGGTCGCGTTTTGATTGGTTGATTAGTTAAAAAAAAGTATTATGTTCTTATGTTAATGAATTTGATTATGGCCTTGAGATATGTATCAGACGCGTGATAATTGATGAGGGCGAAACTCGAATTAACTAGAAATCTGGAGCTAAAAATTCAATGGTTTATATCATAAATCTCTTATTCGTTCAAAAGTTAATAAAAAGACTGTCATAAAACATATTTAAGTTCACATGGCAATCAGGTGGACAATCAGACATGGTTTGATGCTACTCTGGTTTAAAGATTTAGTGAATGTAACCGAGAAGTTACAATTCGTAGACCTAACGTTTCGACACTTCTTTGTAGTGCCTTCATCAGGGGTGATCTAGACGAAGGCGCTAGACAGGAGTGTCGAAACGTGGAATCTATGAATTGTAACCTCACGGCTACATTCATCAAATCTTAAATGTTTAACCAGAGTAGCATCAAACCATGTCAAGACTGTCATATTTTATGGAATAATGATATGAACAAGTCACGCGACGTTTTTTCTTTACACTCACTATTTCTGTCTAACAAAATAGATAGCGAGTATATAGCATAGCTTCTTTTGATTGCAGTTTTTGTGATGCAATGCTAATAGATTTATACTAATTCCCTGGCGATGTTTGCCATTTCCTCTCAAGCCATTTATTGTTACAATAGGATGTAGCTCACTGTATAATCTTGATTCAGCTGTGTGTAGTTCTTTCTCATTTTCCCCGACAAACCGACAAAAGGTATTACACTATGATCACTTTCGATGTTCAAGTGAAACTTGCTCTATTTTAAGCTTTTATTATGCTTTTTAAACTACGGAAGAATTTTGTGGAGTAAGATGAAAACAATAGCTCGAAGCAAAATTTTTGGCCAGCCGCCACTACGTCTGCTCAACTCGGTGTAAACATGCAATCGTCATCGATTAACGATGACAGTCGCTTAATGCTAAGGTCTTTACAGGGAAATATTCTTAACACTTGACGGATAAAAACTAAAAAATATTTTTTTTTAGGTGGAGGACGACTAAATTGTAGACTATTTAACCGTTTGACGATTAACGGTTGGCCCTAGCAAAACCCTCCAACATCCCGCTTGAAAATTCAATCGCATAATTATGCTCCTTTACAAAACAACTTTGCTTCAATGTGATCGTTTTACGTACATTTTCCACCTCATTAGGTCTGAAGTATATAATGCAGTTAACGTTCCATGCAGAATTGAAAAAAAACATTGGGCTCCTACATCGCCAAGTAAACAAACTCCAATGCAAATACTTTTTGTAAGCGGTCAGTGTGATCGTGACTGTTCAAATCCTAATTTCCTTCCAACGAATTCATTACATGCATAGACCAAGCAAAAGTGGCTTGCTTGTTAGGAGGCGACCACATTTACAAAGACGAAGATTTTTCTCCAATTTAGATGTCAGTATTTCAAATTTATAAAATTTTATGGATTTAAATTTTGTGTTATGCGTATTAATGCAAATCGAGAAGTTGGTACAAGTTGCATCCGGTACGTAATCTAATTTCCGATTCAAATAACAAAAAAACTCGATCCAGTTCGATCAGTACTTCAAACTTTTGTTAACAAAATATTTTTTCATCATTGTTTCCTGGAAATGTTTAAATGCGAAGAAAGAGAAAATACAAATTGTCAACTAGTGGCGAATAGTTCAATAGAATAGGTTTAGAATCATTCGTTTTAATAATGTGCATTGTCGTTGTCATTGGCGGCTCGAATTGGCGGGAAACAAGATTCGGAGTTGCAAATCTGTGCGCTAAGTGCAACATAACGAGTTTAAAACTGATAAATTTTGGCGAGAAGAATTGACGTGTACTCATCTAGCAAAATCATCAAAAAGTGTTTCGTGCTTCAACCTCATTCCTTAGAGGTCGGAAAAATGGAATAGAACACACTTGGATAAGATAGAAATCGTTACTATTGGCTATAATATCGTAATAAAGCAGAAACAAAAGTAGTCCTCGTAGACCTCTCTATGTTTTCCCTATGTGAGGTTTTGTTGTCATATAGTTTTAACCGAAGAGAAACAATTAATTAAAATTTGTGCACCATCCAATGAAAGCAAATTTTAGAAAAATATAATAATAATATTTAGTTCACTAACTTTACCTTCTGGCTTGAGTGGTAACCGACTCACAAACGAGTAGATTGAAAAAATCTCCTAGAATACCTACCTATGAGACAAACGTTTCCCTGAGTGCTCAAAAGGCAACCCTCTTGAGGAACGCGCTTATGCAATTTGTTGGTAAATTTGGAATGGAACGAATTATGAACAACTCGCGTAGCCAAACAGAAAATGTATGTAAACTCTGTTAATTCATGCAAGGACATTCAATCAAGCGGAAAAAATCTCAGCCAAACTGTTCGCTTAGGTCATTGAATGATACAGTTTATCTTAATCCTCAGTCAGTTGACGAGAAACGCTATTTCTGCCACGTTTTGTCGTATTACTTTCATGTCACTTAGAAACATACATTTGAAGAAAATTCATGTTTTGTAGTTCCAGTTATTTTTAGGCGGGAGCTTTTGGCGCAAAGTAAACTGTAAATGGAAACTATAGACCGCAATTGTTTACTATTATTAACGTGCCAAGCCCTTTGAGGCGAATTTCAGTACCATCTACCATAACGGTTACGTCAAAAGATACTTTATTTTGGAAGGACTGAGCATAACCTTCTTTTGCCGCCAAAAAGCAATTCATAATAGCGTTAAAAAATATGATCGCAGACGGGCAAGTTACCTCAAGTTTCCAAACGTGCAGCCTCTCCCAAATTTTTGTTATCAATAGCACGTACAATCATTGATATTTATCGCAATTATTAATTATTATCGTAGTGAAGTGGTTAATAAAGTGCATCAGACCGTAAAAAAAATCGGTAATGCAGGATAATTTTGTCCGCTCTTTTTTTGCGCATGATTGTTTAGCCTTAATTCAACAAAGAATGGAAAATAGTGCGCGCTTAAGTGTTACACAAATCTAGAGATAAAAGTTGTTTTCTTTTCAAGCGAGTCGCTCTCGTCAGCAAGCGGATGCATACCGGCGCCGACAATTGCGTACGTTGAAAAGATCCGCCTAAAAAAAGAAAAAGAAAAAGAACAGGGGCAGAGCGTGCAAATTTCGTGAAGAAACCATCCAGGCTTGACTCAGGCTTCTTCTCTGCAACTAATTGCATCGCGCGCAGCTCACCTCCGTGGATCATTGTGTTACTTGAGAAACTTAATCAAGGTTCTTCTCGGATAATCTCGAGTCCTGATCATGAGTTTACAATTGGGTTAGACCCTGAGTTAGATCTTGCGCAAAAGTTCGAGTTGAACTGTGAAAAAACGACGACAAAATGCACCAAAACAAAATTTACGTCGTAGGGGGGAGGGTAGGGACCCGCAAAACCAAAGCCCGTTGGGCTGATCCGCACAGATATCCATCTATTTCTAGGAGGAGGACTGCAACCCTAGAGAGGACTCCCGTCATGCCAAAGGAGCCGGGAAGCCTCTTCACGAGTACCCCTTCACCGGGGGTGGCTTTCACAAGATGTAGGTATTACTTCAAAAACGAAGATGCCTCGAGTCTTTTAAGAACCAAAGTAAGGAGACGGTATAACTTCTATTCTCATTACGCGTTACATACGTTTTGGACCTGTGTATTTCTGTTTTTGTTTACGAAAACCCCGGACGATGCTAAGAAAAAGCAAAGGTACAAACAAGACACGTAGAATTTATTTAGGTGTGTTTCACTCTGAAGCGTGTTTCAGCCTGTTAATTGGCTAACGTATCATTGCAAGAAATTGGTGTCAGACATATACCAAGAAATCTCGTTGAAGAAGTCGGGATCCATCACTGACATGCATTAGTTTTTTTCCTCAACTCGCGATGACTTGAACCTAATCTCTGAAGCTTAACTTACTTCGTGTCATGATAAAAGAAGCGTGAAACTGGCCACGAACCTCTTAGCAACATAATGCAATCGCGGGCGCATAACAGCTGGAAAAGGGCCCAGACACATGCGCACAAGCTGTTAAAGGTCACCAAATCCAAGATGGCGATATTTTGACTGTCACCCATTTAGGCCCGCTGTTGTCGTGTTTATAAATTTCTGTTTCCCATTAACGTCTGAAACATGCAGAATAGAACAACTCTGCATCACAATTTACAACGGAGGGTTTATGGTAACTTACCGCCGGGCATGTTGATGAAAAGAGCGAGAGGTGTGTTTAAAATATTAGTTTCAGATTTTGTTTTGATGGAGCGATGGAGACATTTTAAGCTTACATTTTATAGATCTATTGATCTCTCAGCTGTATGTAGCCAAGGATATTTTTATTGTCCATGAGCTTTGCCCAATTTAAGAAAGAAAAATATCGATAAAATAATAATTGAAAATCATCTGCACGGTTTCAGTTTTCCTTCCCACCGAAAACTTTTTTTTTTCTTTTTTGTCTACCACTCTGTTCAAAAATTATCATGTGTATTTACTGATATCAGTTATGAAAGTGATAGAAAATCTTTTCTTCGGATAGATTTCTGGATAAAATACTGTTAATTAATTAATCGCTATTTTTGCTCATTTCCTGGATAGGAAGTAAATATCTGCTGCAGTGCTTGCAGAAAGAAACAGCTTTGACGGGGCATGAAGGCTGTGTAAGTTTTGAGTCAGTGTTATGTTGTGTCTCAGGATAAAAATTATTCCTTTTCTAAAAGAAAAGGAAAAGAAAAAGCATATATTACACTAAAAGGGCATCTAGTTATATACACCCTTACCTTACCCTCCCCTCCCCCTGTTCCTCCCTCAATTACCCTTTACACCCTAGTATCAGTATTCACATTCTCCATACTGCTTGCTATACATTTGCTATGGTACTGAAAGGGAGAATTTGTTTAACAAGAGCTTTTGTAATTAATTCATGATCATTTCCTTTATTCTCATTTCGTTTGTTTTAACAGTGATAATGTAAGGAGAAAGAGGATGCTAGTCACTCTTAGAAGTAAAAGGGTTCACAGTAGTTTTCTAACCAGGTCCAAATAGACTAGGCTAGAACATTTTCCTTTAGTTTTAGTCTTGGGTTAGTTTGCCACTGGTGGGTTTTGACAAGAATTCCCCTCGGTTTACATTTAACAAGAAAATTTTGGTTTTGGAGTCTCTACCAAATTGGAGCTTTCCTTGAGAGAATTCCATAGAAACACGTTCCATTGAAATGTAAATGTTTCTGGTCCACAGCTGTCTAACATAGTGATAAATTTCAAGCCCCCTTAGTTTCTCTTGTGATAATACCATTTTGTCTAATTTCTTTAGGTTAACAGTATAGCTTGGAATGAGAGTGGCAGCTATCTTCTCTCTGGAGCTGATGATTGCCGTCTTAACATTTACCAGCCAACAAAAAGAAAGGTTAATTGTACAACTTTATGTCATAATCTCATTGGCATGTCTAATAGGAATTTTTTTTTTAAATCTTGAATAGTATTCATCTTTTAGACTTTCCACTGAGAAAACATGGGACAATTGTTAGAGGTTAACCCTTTAAACTCCCAAGATCTAATTGTTAATTCTCCTCTCTAGCTGCTACACATTTCCTTGTAAATATGTTAGGAGAATGTGGTGTTACATCAAGGTAAAACTTCTATCTGTTAGGTTTGAGTATTCTCATAACCTGTTTGCTGAATATTGTATGAATATTAAAGGGAGAAGTTACACGTAATCACTTTTGGGGATTTAAGGGTTAACAGTTATTGTTAATTACATGTAGTGTAGTCCTTGTCATAATAAAGGTCAAAATGATGATGAGGATTGGAAGGTCTTCCCAGTAGGCATTGGGCAGCTAGTCTTGTGATTTACCCTTCACTTTTGTATCTTGTTAAAATATGCTACTGTAAAATGGACTTGTTTTAATGCATTCTTTTTTATCAATTCTGGAAAGAAGTGGACAAGTTGATAGTATGAAACCCTTGTACCAAGATTACCTTGTAATAAAAGTTTGGTCAGAAATATTCTTTTCCCTCCTCCATTTATTTATGTGCAGTGTTGATATGTATAACAATATCTTCTTTTCAGTTGCTGCATTCCATCAGATCTGGTCATAGAGCCAATATTTTCAGTGCCAAATTTCTGCCTGGTTCAGGAGATAAATGGGTGAGTGTTCTTGGGTTGACAAATTCAGTTCTGTGTTTGAAACTCTTTTGATATTATCTACATCCTCATGTTGTTCAGCCTTATGTGACAATATCTTATCATAATTTTTGATGAAATAAATTTTATTTGAGCTGCCAATTGAAGTCAATAAAAGCTATGGTCCTTGCAGGTCTGCTATAATTTTTTGCAATTGCAGAAAGAAAGCCTGAAAAAACTCCGGCCTTGACAGGATTTAAACCCCTACCTCACAGTTATTAGTCGGCACTACTCCCAAAAGAGCTACAATGTACAAAACCACACTTCAGGAGTGAGGGAAATTTTAGAGGGTTTTTCTTTCCCCAAGGAAGAATTTGAACACAATTTTTAATGACATAAACTTCATTTGAACTTTGGTTGAACATCAAGTAGAGGAACGATCCTTGTAGCAATTTCATACAAGAAGTCTGAAAATCTACAGGCTTTGACACAAGGCTCCAAGCTCAATTTTTCAAAAAGTTGCCATATGGCAACTTTCCATTGTGAAATGGTTGCCATTAAAAAATTGTGCTTGCCTTTCTTTTCAAATCTGTTGGTTCACCATGTGGCCACTTTTGTCAAAATTCTAGCCACCAAATATATTTTTCACCCGCTATGGTGATTAAAACTTGGAGCACTGTGATGGGATTCTAACCTGTGCCTCCCAGGAACTAGTTGAGTGCCACTATCAACTATGAAATGAAGCTAATGTGACATCTATCAGACTGAAAGCACTCAATGAAGCACAAAAGCTTTAACCCTTTACGCCCTAACATCAGTATGCATATTCTCTATACTGTTCTCTACACATTTCCTAAGTTGCTGACAAGGAGAACTTGTTTAATATCAAGAGCTTCTTTAGTTGGTGATCATTTCCTTTATTCTTGTTACCTTAATGTTTGATTCAGGGGTGATATTGTTGTTAGAAATTAGATGCTAGTCACTCTTAGGAATCAAAGAGTTAAATTAAACAAGGGACAACTAGTCTATTTATAAAGACATACCTGATATAAAGCTTCTGAGGCCTTTGATCAAGCAAATAATATTATCAAAACATAAAAAGCTTGTTTTAATGTATATACATGTTGTGTGCACCAACAGATAGTGTCCTGTGCTGGAGATGGCATGATTCACTTTACAGATCTCAATAGAGAAACAGGCCATGGACAGTTTCAGTTTAATTGTCATGCAGGAACTACATATGAGGTATGGTATACAGTGCTGCAAGCTCAATTTTGTCTATAACTATGAATTATGTATATCCCAGTAGGCTTATCACCAGAATACATTTGTTGAAAAAGGACTTTGAAACAAGTTATAGAAGTGCTTTTATTAAATTAGCTTTTGCATTTAATGGTTTTTAACTAAGCATGAAAATGTGATAATAAATCAAATTCATTTCAATATGTTTGAAACAGAATTAAAAACCTACAACATGAAAAAAAACTGGAACATAACAAAATGGAAATTAAGACTTTTCCTTAGAATTCATCTTTGATAATTAAAAAGAAATAATAAAGTTGTTCCACAAAACTTTTAGAATTTTCCATCTGAAGTAGTACAGAGTTCGTATCTCTTAAAACAAGGAATGCTAGAGGTGGGCTTATAATTGGATTAATCATAACCATTACATTTCCTCAAATGTGATGGAGCATTTGCAGCCTCATTTTTCACTAATCATTCTGTACAGTTGTAATTGGACAGTGTAATTGGACAGTTGTCTGTAATTGGACACCTGTAATCAGACAATTGAAGCAGCCAATCATACTAAGTCCACTCAACAAAATCCACCAATCACAGAATTGATCACAATAACCATGGCAACAACCACTTATTTAAAGAAAAACTTTGGAATTTTCAATTCCATAAATTTTAAAAGTGAGGAACATTAAACTCGAGATATTGTCTCCACTAGAGATAAATTATTTGTTCAAGATGTATTTGTTTATTTGGAAATTTTAATGGTTATGATTAATAGGTAACAAGACTTTGTGTTGTCCAATTCTGTAATCACTCGTATGATTACAGACCAAATTGGACTCCGCTCAGTCCTATTACCATTATACATTTTTTTGTTTACACTCAGATGGTCCTATAACCAGGGAGGGTGGGGAGGGGCCAGCTTATGAGTTGCAGGGTACTGTATGATATTTGATAAAGCACACTGTGCTTCTAAATCATCTCAGTCATGTGATTGTTTTTGTGCTAGGTAATTACAACTCCTGGGGACCCTAACACCTTCCTTAGCTGTGGGGAAGATGGCACAGTCAGACTGTTTGACCTGCGAACCAAGACAAAATGTTTATGCCGAGATTGTAAAGAGGTTTGTTTGGTTACAGAAACTTATCACCAAGAAAATTTTCCACTTGTATTGTATTTAAGATCAACTGAATGTGTTCCTCATTAACTTTATTCAGTAAAAATGACATTTTTTGAGAAAGTTTTTTGAGAAATGCTAAGTCCACCTGAGAGAATTGAATCAAAACCTTTTGGATTCTGTCATGCTCTTGAGAAGATGATGCAACATCTTACTCTTTCACATTTAGTTAGCAAGCCTAAAATTTATCATCCACTATATTCCATTTCCTCAAAATTAATGAAGTATTTGTAGTTAAATGCTCATCAAATCAGGACAAAAATTATCCAAGATTTCTAGAAATTCACCAAAAACACCAAACACAGGTCTATTATGTGGTTTAATTTGCTTTATTTTGTAGATTAGATTTGGTGTAAAAAACTTGCTGTGCTAAAAAAAACAAAACTGAAAGATTTTTTTAGCTCTTGGATCTTGAAATATTTCTCGTGAGTTATGTCAAATAAGGGATTTTAGACACAATCAAGGCTCCAAAACGTCTTGCCTCAGTCGTTCAAAGGTTGGATATTGCTATCCAGTGGATAAATCACTATACGGTGGACAACGCCATACATTCTGCAACACTCATCTGCCAGATAGCAATTTATCCGTTTGATAGCATTATCCACTCCTCATACAACTGAGCCCTGGATTTCATTTATTTTGTGAAGTGGTTTAAAATTTCCAATTGCCTTTTCTTGTTATGTGAGAAAAAGAGCATGAAACAAAGAGAAATGGAATTTTGATTTGAGATAAAACTGAAAATGGAGATGTGGATTACAGTGTGGTGTGTGGCCCCAAGCTTGTAATCTGGTGATCCTGTGTTCAAGTCCTCCAACCCTGTTACTCGCTGGATTTGTTCTTGGTTGCCCCAAACTCAACTCCCCTGCTGCACTTTGTCTATAGCCAAGTAGCCTGCCTCCTGCCTGCCTATTACACTATTTTCATGTTCATTTTATATTTTAATATTTTTAAATCAGTTAGACTTGTATAAACCTACACCTTGGTTGCCCTGGAATTATGGAATTGGTTATGGTTAGATTTAAGGGTTTCAGTACAATTTTCATGTGGAGTCACTGATTTTTTTTTACTATTGTGTTGAAGGAGCCCCTCATATTTTTCTCTTTTCCTAACACAGGACATTCTGATAGACTGCGGTAAAGCAATCACATCCATCAATCTGAATCCCATCATGCCGTATCATCTGGGTGTTGGCTGTGAAGACAGCACTGTACGAGTGTTTGATAGACGTGCACTGAGCAGTAGCAGCACCAACAAGATGAATGGAATGTTCTGTCAGTTTAGACCAGATTCACTCAATGGTAGAACATGTCGCGTCACTTCACTTCATTACAGGTGTGAAAATTGTTTATCAGCTAATCAAGTTTGCTGAAAAATGTTGTGATTGTACTGTCTGTTCCTGTGTTTGGATAAATACCTTAGTTACTAGATACTCTGTATTTTATTTGTTAGCACATCCTTGACCGCAGTCACGTGATTATCCATATGTATCAAATGTGTAAGGCACTTGGTCTGATTCATGCGTGAGTCACGCATTACTCTCTAATAGTATATCGAACCCTAATGCACAGCAGTGATTTTAAAGTAAATACAACTTAGCAAAAATTCAAGTGTGTGATTACAAATTACTTTCACGAATTTTCTTGGTCTATAATATTCATCTTGTCAGTATTTCGAATTATATGAGGTCATATGTTCCAGCTTGTTGTGAAAAATCAAACGAGGTTTTAGATCTCTTTCTCTTTAAATAATTCATAGATATTTCAGAGGAGGCCAAGAAAAGATGAAATACGAAAATGGCTGACCGTCTATACACTTCGTTTACACCAATTGTCAACTTTCAAAGGTTTTACTTTGTACAATTAAGCAGATGTTTCCTTTATGGACCTTGCATGAAAAGCTTTGGGGCATTGATAAGCAAGCATAAGTCTCCATAAATAACTTGGAAAAATATTTATGACTCTTGTTTAGGGGAGTACATTGCACACCAACTTTACATGTCTCCAGGCGCGTGTTAAACTTCTATGCTCTTCCTTTTCTAGCCCTGATGGTAGTGAACTCCTTGTGAGTTACTGTGCTGATTACGTCTACCTATTTACCTTACGCGGAAGTAAACAGCTTCGCTCTACACACGGCGATGACCTGGAGGGTGGATACTCCAACGGTAGCAACGGTCATCGGAATGTACCACCACTGAAACGTCTGCGCCTGCGAGGAGATTGGTCAGATACAGGTCCCAATGCCAGGCCTGAAAGTGAACACCCTTCCCCAGAAAACTCCCTGATGCAGCGTATGTCCGATATGTTTGCACGCTGGCTTGAAGAATCGTTTCGCGCCGGACAGCGTCACAGAGCCCGAACATCATCGTCGCGCTCGACGTCGGTGTCATCTACAACATCATCTTCGTCGATGTCTTCGTCGCCGCCATCTTATATGTCTAGTAGCTCATCAGAGTCAAGCGGAGCTTCGGGTTTGTTTGGAGAGGAACCGAGGTGGCGTTGGAGTCGTGAGCGGAATTCCGAGGTGCCCCAAAGTAGAAAGGGAGCGAGGGTAGGTGAATCAGGCGGAGCTTCTGTGGAAATGGAGTCAGAATCAGCGGCGAGTTTAGATGATGCCAACAGAACTGGCCAGGAGAGATTAAACGTTTCTAGCACCAAATCTGTCGAGCTTATTCCTCACTGTGAAAAGGAATTTGAAAGTGTTCCTAGAACTACTGAATCGACAACCTATGTCAATGATACTATGGCAGCCGCCGCTGAAAATAATACAGGAGCAAGCGAAACCTCAACGATAGCAATCGAAAGTAAAGACACAGAGAATGGGCCAAGTAGCCATCGATTATCTCAACAAATGGACCAGTCAAAAGTAAAAGACTCACATTCGAACACTTTAGTAAAAACGAAAAGTAAAGACAGTTCTTCACCAGCTACGCAAGAAACCACCCGCCCAAGCCGTACGCACGCGGACCCAACGTCTCAAGAGGAACCAAGAGACGAACGAAATCCAGGCGTAAGTGGCGATGAAGGCGTTGCTCTTCCGGAACACACCTCAGCGGCTACTCGAATTCAGCGCGTTTATAGACTTCATAAGAAGGCAAAGTCAAGTACGGAGTGTGAAGGAAAGGATCTTTGGATTCCAGAAATGACACGAGTCTACAAGGGCCATCGTAATGCACGAACAATGGTTAGTGTACCTTACACAATGTCTCTTTTAACCTGAATTGAAATTAAATTAAACATCAAGGTCTTAAGCTTGCGCAAGCCTCCCGATGAGCGCATAGGAAGATTCCTGGACACAACTTCAGCTCAGAAAGGCAACTTGGCTCTGACAGCCTGAAAGCGCGCCACCTCGCTTATACAACGTTCGCATATGTGCACTCATTTGACCGCTGTGCTAACACAATGACTCGACCTGCTCTTCAGTGAAGATATCTCGATCTAAAGTGCAGTGCTCTGTACTGAATGTTAGTCTATCGCGTTTCTCACTCACGAAAATTTGGAAGTGATTTATTTGGAAGACCGAACCGGAATTGTTCGAATTACTTTGAGGGATAAAACGGAATCTTAATTTTGCTTGCTTACACTCTGTAGATCAAAGAGGCTAATTTTTGGGGCGATGACTACGTTCTTAGTGGAAGTGATTGTGGTCGAATCTTCATCTGGGAAAAATACAGTGCCGAGTTGGTGATGATTCTTCAGGGTGATAAACACGTGGTCAACTGTGTTCAGCCGCACCCATATGACCCAAGTAAGCCATCTGTTACACTGGTCAACATGTCTTGTACATCCTTTCGTGCCTTCTACATCAGATAAGAATTTGTAATAATTTGTATGATAAGCTTACTTCAGCGGCAAAATAGAAAAAGGTGATGTAATTATAGATTTAGCAGTTGCAGACGATTATCAGGGCTTCATATAACAAAGTTATGGCTTCTCCTCCATAGGAGGTAGTAGCCATAAAAATTAAAACATCTTGCGCAAATTGAATCCGGAGTTTTCTGTGAAGATATATAGGGAAGCAGAAGTGGCTCGGTGGCGAGAGAACGCTTCTCTGTCTATGTTAAGCGCAAGCTATAAATAACGCTGCGAAAAGAGCGGTGAAGCTCGCGGGATTCGCCGCTCGTGCTGTGGCGCTAATTAGAGCTTGATTACAGTCTAGGACCTGGGCTGATTTTGAAACAGGTTCTCGTTCTTTTTCAAGGATTTTCCTTCGGGTTCTTTAGATTTGCTCTCTCTACGAAAGGCGACGCTCCAAATTCTGATTTCGAACTGGAAAACAGTGGATGCAGAGCAACCTAGAGGAAATGCTACTGCCTAATTACAAATTGTATCTCTAGGTATTGTTTTTATCCATGAAGAGAAATTCTGCCATCTTTGTGAATAGAGTGAAAAACAAAACAATAGAGACAAAACAAATTGAGGTTTTAGGACAATTAACTCCACATTCATTTAAACAGTTCTGGCATCAAGTGGAATTGACTATGATATAAAACTTTGGACGCCTTCTGCCAAGGAACCCATGGAACCTAAAGACAAGGATGAGGTTTGTGTGCGATTTTTTTTTTGCCTTTAGACAACGATGAAGAACGTATCCAGTGGAGTCCTGCCTTTTGTGTAATTGCTATAAATTTTGTTCTCTTTGTAGATAATTGGTCGTAACGAGAAAATGTTGGAGGAGAGTAGAGATACCATAACAGTACCGGCCTCTTTCATGATACGTATGCTGGCCTCTCTGAATCATGCCAGGTTTGGTAGGTCATTAAGGCTAGAATTCGTCAGCTTGCGAGCAGGCTCTCGTCATTATTAGCGCAGCAGGACGTGTGTATCTCCGCCCTAGGGAAGGGAAGATTTGAGGCGAGCCAGGAAGAAGTTTACCGAGGGTCTGGCACTCAAAATGATCAGTGCTCTATCCCTTGCAAACCTCTTGCCAGGTCGTGTTACTCGAAGCCTCATTCGTTTCCGTGGGCGACGAAAACGGTCGTGCCAAAGCGCTAAAAATGAGGGCATGCTTGCAGGCGAAGAATTGCTGGACACGTTCTCTTCTGTTTCTACTTAACCCTTAACTCCCAGAAGTGATTAACAAGTAACTTCTCCTAAAAATATCCATGCACTATCCAGCAAAGAGGTCATGAGAACACTCAAATTCATCAGGTACAGGCTTTTATCTTGATCTAACATCAAGTCCTCATAACTAACTTATAAGGAAATGTGTAGCTGCTAGAGGGGAGAATTGACAAGCAGATCTTGGGAGTTAAGCGGTTAAGCAATGCAATAAGACACTCTCGGGTTTTAAATAGTCTATTTAAAATAGGGCATTTAAAAGAATTCGGGAAAATAATGCAAATCCTAGACGCAGTTCCATCACATCTATCGACCTATGAAAGCGTGCGTACTATCTTAGTTATTTTATAAACACAAATATTGCGGCGAGTCACATGATTGATAAGATTCCACTGATGAGGACTATCACGTCAATAATTATTTTTCTTAACCAGTTAGGAAGTTTTTGGAGTGGAACTGAAATCCCAGACGATCTTGTCGTGCATCACGAACAGACATGTGATTACGATATGTTTCCTTTACACGTTACAGGTCAGCGGACTCAAGATGACGAAACCGACTCTGATTTGAGTGACGATTGAATTATGTGACGTGCTGTGCTGATCACCAGACTGTCACGCAACTCATCTGATTGTTGTCGAGTTGGTTACTCTTACTTTTTTTCCGGGAATAGATATATATTGGGCAATGTTTGTCACCTCAATGCAGCAAATGGGTTTAAAGTTTATCCAATGTGAGATATTACTTTTTCTTGAAAAGAAAAGAAACAATTACTGTTCCTTTTCAGTCTGTTTAACTGTGGTGGAAATTATCGCAAGTTTCTTTCGAAACATTTTACGTTAGCCCTACTTCGTAACAAGAGCAGAGAGCTTTTCTGAACTAGCGTTCTATGGTTCGTTATAGTGTATGCGATAGTAGTTGGAAACGTTAGTGAGTTAAGTGTTGAAAATATTTTTCACTTCGAACACTTCAGTGTACAGGTTTGTTCTCCTTTAGCCCTCTCATAAGGAGAGCAACATCTTTCAAATTTCATCTGCTGAGCTTGGGTCAGTTGAAGTATAATGAGGCCTTTGGTTGTCAGGGGTAATTTTTCTTTTGATCTTATAAGAAAGGAGTTAGCTTTGTGGGTTATTTCATTATATGTAATCGTGATCGATGGTGGGTCTGTAAATAGTTTGCATACTAGATGAAAAACGTTGTGTAAATTTACGAAATCTTGTACATACTGTAGATATTATTAAAAGATGTTTTGGTTTTTGTCTGGAAAGGAAGGATACCGTTGCTTGAATTTTCGTTCCCCATCACCATCTTTGTGCTGCTACGTTTCATGCTGTTTTACTTTGTGAAGTGCGGCCAGCAGTTTGTTAATAACGAAGGCATTATTATGGTGATACAAATACTGCAGGGATGATTAGAACCGAAACTTCTGCTCTCGTAATGTAATCAATAAATTCAGTGAATAATAGCGTCTTCGACATGTGAACTTTGAATCTTCAGATCCAGCCCCTGATATCTCAAAGCTACAACTTTTGAACCAGAATCCAAATTATTTCGAGAATTGTAAGCAATAAAATCAAATTAAAGACGTATTTCAACTGCACTCACGAATCAGAGTACCGTATCCTCCAAACTGCGTTTGTACAGCCCCTTTTCTGTAAGTATGATTACTTTTAGTGAAGACTCCAGCGAATGTACTTGAGTCGACTAGTTATACACAATTGTTATCAAATGATGCCAATTCACCTGTCTAATTTAGGTCTGTTACTAGTGATACGGTACAACCTTTAAGACAAAATTTACCATTTGCGCCAAGTGCGAATTCCCGCCTATAATCAGGCGAGCAACCTTAGCCAACTTTTACTTGAAATCGAGCTACTTTTTCCATAATTAAATCCATAGGCACCAAAAAGACTCTCAACCACGCATTTTTTTCGAAATCGTACACCTGCCTTTCTTGTCACTGTTACCTAGCTGGTTTATTCAGTTCCCCGAATAGCACACGCTCTCATCGGGGTCACATGACCTTCAACAGTGAAACTGCCTCCCTGTCAAAAGTCGCTGACCGAGGAAAATGGCAAAATCTATGACGTCAGAGGGTAACAGTGCGATGTTGACCGACATGCACGCGTGCAAAGCGTGATTGAAGCATTGTAGTTTTGCGCTCTTACGAGCCAACCTGTAATTTATCAGTACATGTTCGTTTTGTTTTCACATTGTGTCTCCTAATTTCCTCGTCGTGCCACATAACGAATCACTTACCGACTGGTTCCCTGGAAAACTGTTCATTTTGTTTTCCTTGAATCTTAACCTTTTAACTTCCATGAATGACCAAGACAGAATTTCTCCTTTCAATGTCAATACAATATCACGCAGATAAGTGATGAGAATAAAGAAAATTTTCAACTAGGGGATTACTAGTTGATCCAATACCAAATTCTTTAAACTAACATCACACAAGAACTGTATGGCAGACAGTAAGGAGAATTTCTAATTAGATTTGGGGAGTTAAAGGGTTAACAAATAAAACCGTTTCTCTTGGGAAGAGTTATTAAATGTTTGTTTTTTTCCTTTTTCCTTCTTTTTCACTTTTCTTTTCTTTTTTTTTTACTATTACTATTGCCACGTGGTATTGGCATTGCAACTCTTTCGCTTAATTGGTTCCCAGACTCAAGCGAAAATTCAGCAGCGCGGTTCTTGGGTATATCGTGAGTTTCTTGGTAACCTTTCTAAAAACCTCAAGCCCATCTTTCGTCAACGCGTATAACTTCATTTCGTCCTCAGTTTCACCCGGAAAACTGAGAACCTCCCGGGGACCAAAAGGGACCACGATTAACTAATCGGTGAACTTCACCGACCAAAAAAGCCGTGGGCTCAGATAAAATCTTTCTCAATTCTCTAACTTTTACACGGCCCCAGGGTTGAAAGTACCAGTGGCTTGCCATACCTTGGTTTTAAGTGCTTTTGTTGTCTCTTTTCTCGTAATCTGAGGATATATTTAGTGGATTTGAGCTGATATGGACGTGCATGACTTCATTATTCTCTCTACTGCTAAGCTGCTGGAATTAAACTGCTTTATCAAGCTGTGAGGTAAGTTTATTGCTATATTTTGCTTTGTCTCCGAGGCCGGAAGCTAAAACTGTGATAGCCAGAAAAAAAGAATTCCGCCCTCCTCTTTAATTCTACCGTTCATCACCGAACGAGTAATGTGACCTATCTTTGTAGAAGTGTGTGTTAATAGAATTACAGTGATCCAGTAGATACTGATATGGTTTGCATCGACCTAACATATATAAAGATATTTTCAATTTTTGAAGCAAATTATCGTAGGTCAGAAGATTTCATTTCAGTTGCAATTCATGGAAACCGATAAGTATTATAAATAAAAGGTTAGCCAACGCGAAAAAAAATACATCTTATCAAAGCCTTGCCGATGAAAAACTGAGAAAAACATATGATATGTGAATTTTCTGACGAAAATAGCGATGATAGATATTGTCAATTTTTTTATTTTAGTCTCGTGACCTGTTGTTTATCAAACCACGATTTGATTGGTCGCTTTTGCAGGTAGCTGTCACCCTTAACTGAACCCAGTTTAGTTACATTATGTATATGGCCGGACATAATGGGTTCTCTTGTGCTTAGTCAGAGGAAGATTCTTGTTGTCAGAGCGTTAGGCCGCATATTTTCGCACTTTGAGCCTTCAATGAATAGACACATTCTTTCTTTTCTGGTGTAGTTTGTCTCACCCAGTGAAAGAGGGAATGGATCGTAATCTATCAAATGAATTATCAGATGGTTATATCATGGTAACTAAGGTTGATCGATGCGAATATGTACCGATCATCATCGATGCGCACCGAATATGAACTCGCAAATGCTCAGAAATTTTCGGCAACTGATCATAAACCATATGTGGTACCACGCAATACGTCAACTCTTACTGAGACTCCATAATTTTTTCGCTAGGGAAGGAATTCTTGAATTACGTCAAAACCCCAATTAGACAGTATTTAAATAAAACAAAGAAGCTTGTGAAATTCGCCTCGCTTTCAACAAGAGGCTCAATTGACTCGGGGCGCCATTCAAGTATCTGGAAGCCGGGCAGGTGGTCGAGTCACGTTGACGCTAAAATTCTTTTCAGGCCTCCCATCTGCAATGTGTTTAGTTGTAACTCTCCTACGAGGATCATTTCTTTACTTGGACTTAGACAGAGTAGTTACTTTGACGAGGGAACACAAAGGCAAGTAGCCATTTTCTGTCTATTTCCGCTCCTGGACCCATGACCAAAGGTAAAAATCTCATCTTATCAATTGGTGTTTACAGCTGAGCTCTTCAGTACCAGCCAAAGCTAGCTCTCTGTTCTACTCGGGTCCCTGACTTCCTTTACGCCTTGCAAGCTTTACACAGTTGTTATGTTCAGTCCACTGCAAATGTCGCACGCTGTCTGTTCACACCTAAGAAGTTAGGTACTTGATTGTTTATTGTTCGTGGCGCCCTTCTTCTTAACTATTCAATGGCAATTTGGGAAAATTTGTCTCAATCAAACTCTTTGTAATATTTTTGCTACTTAACTCCTCGGCTTAATGATACTGGTTCAGCTGCGAAGCAATTTGCATCCAGTATGCCAATGATCTTTACCTAAGGTCAAGGTCAAGTTCAAGTTCACTTCAACGCAATAATAAACATTAATTTTACAACATTACGATCGTACACTGGGCCGGTGTCCGTAATTAGAATAACTATTTGACTTTGTTTCCTGCGATTTTCACACTCTCTCTCATGCCTTGAAGGGAGAGAGAACGTAAACTAAAGTGACAAAAAGAAGGAAAGGTAACCTTGATAAGTAGATGGTAATCTTAAATTAACTCTGCGCATTCATGTAAAACTTGTCCCTGGCTCAAAGAGGCTGAATAATGTTCGATTTAATTTTCGCAAAATTAAACTTCATACGAGCTAGTAGTCAATATTGGACACAGGGAATTTTCTCATTTACATCACAAACCATTTGACTTTAGAGTTTTCTACTTCCAAACTCACTGGCGGCTTTCAAAAGTACTTTTGTAGAAGTTACCAAGTTACCATTGTTGAACATTAAAAAGAGCCGGTTACCAGAGAAACCTTGACCCCATCAATTTATTTGGAACTTATTTTTATGAAATTTACTCCTTGAAAACTAAAACTAGCGAGTGTTTGAAACTGACGTGCAGTTTGACTTGGTGTTGGTAAGTTTTTTTTTAGAAGCGTGTGTTTTCGTTGAGCAGGAACGGTTACCGGTTAATTTGTCCTTAATCAATGGTTCAGATGATTGCTTTAAAGAGAAGTAAATTCACTGTTTGTCTAAGAAAGTGCCAGATTTTTTTGCTCTCCGCTGAGGGCAGGTGCCAGAGTAGGTGTTGGAAAGCAATTAGTTACGAAAACCTGGCCGACCGCCAGCTACTACGTACCAAATATTTTTAGTTATGATTTGCCAAAACCTGTGAGCCAACACGAAAAACATGTGCTTTCAAGGGAAGCCTTTTCATGAAATTAAGGAAATTTCATTCAAAAAAGACTACCGGGAAAAAGCCGCGACAAAAAAACTCGTTAGAAAAGATTACCTGGCCAGGTAGTTAAACGCTCCTTTTTATTATTCGTAGTGAGCATTACCAAATGTTTCTTTCGACTGCTGTAGTTAATTCTGCTTCTGACAATTTAGCCACAGGGTAGGTTTTTTTTTCAAGCAATAGATGGTAAACATGATTATAGATATGGCAAAAAAACCTGAAACAAGTATATTCGCTGAATTCGAAATTACTGTTAAATTTGAGCAAAAATATATTTGTACATAGTTCCAGTGGTTAAGAAACATTTTCCAGCGGCTGCTGACGGTGTAACTAGCGGCTGAGCCGTAGGGCAAAACTCAAACGAGAGGGCCTTATCGCAGGCTAAACAGACAGCGGTAGACCGTTGGTAAGCACCTATCACTGAAACCCCTGTATAGTTCAAGCAGTCCTGTCCACTGGGATTGTACTGTGACATTCGATGCCGAAACGTTTTGGCAAGCCCTTGGAAAAAAAGTTTATCTGTTTATTCCGTGGAATTATGATGTCAGTGGCATGAGTGATTAATTCTTCACTGAAAAAATGTACGTTTTCCTCTAACACTATTTGAAACTGCCCTGCAAAGCAGCGACGTCGCAGACCCTTTATCCATTAATGAATGTAAAGTTATATTATTCATTTCAGTGGAGGAAATTATATTTCTCTTTGCATATTATCATTTTTTGCC